CCGCTGTGTTTTGGTTGATTTGATGTTGTTTGAGGTGTTTTGAAGATTGGTACAAGTTTGAATAAGGTATTAGGATATGTTTATTCTTTTGGTTGAGGTCTCGGGGGCCTCAGGGTGATTTCGGATGGTTGACGGGAAGTTTGAGACTTTGTTGCAGCTGCTGAATTTGCTGCTTCTAGTATTTCCGCACCTGCGGATTGGGGACAGCACGTGCGCCGCCGCATGTGCGGACGTTTAGTCGCAGGAGCGAAAAGGGTCCTGATGAGCAGCGACCGCAGAAGTGGTTAGGGTGATCGCATCTGCGATGTCGCAGATGCGGATATGTGATCGCAGATGCGGACTAAGGGGAGGTAAGTGATTTCCGCAGAAGCGGAGGAATAACCGCAAATGCGGTACCGCAGAAGCAGTTAAAGGGACGCAGATGCGAAAATGACTGGGCAGAAAGTATAAATTGTGGCCTTCGCAAAATTTGAGTTATTTCACCATTTTTTATTTCGGCCTTGGAGCTTTTTGGACGATTTGAAAGAGGGATTTCAAGGGAACTTCATTGACGTAAGGAATTTGGACCTAAAACTCATTCCTATGCTATCATTTCACGGATTAGAGTTAGAAATTATGGAAATTAAGGGTGAAAATTGGGAAAACTAGGGCTTGGAAACTTAGACATTTGCTTGAGGATTTAAAGGACCATTTGAGGTCGGATTTCAGAACTTTTGATATGTATGAACTCGTGGGGAGATACAAAATCTATTGACGTAAAAATTATTGAATTCCGAGACGTGCGCCCGGGGGTCGGGTTTTGGTAATTTCAGGATTTATGTTGTAAATTGATTATTTTCGTTTGGGCTTCGTTCCCTTAGCATATTTTGACGTCCTCGTTCTGATTTTGGATAGATTCGACGCGAGTGGAGGCCGATTCGAGGGGCAAAGAGGTCGCGAGCTAGAGATTTGACCAGTTCGAAGTGAGTAATGATTGTAAATGATGTTCTGAGGGTTTGAAACTACGGATTGCACATCGTTGTGCTATATTGAGGTGACGCACACGCTTGATGACGAGCGCGGGGTCGTGTACTGTTGGGAATTGTGACTCGGTCCACCCGAATGACTATTTTACCGCGTATTTGACTGAAATCTATTTGCTATCATCATTACTTGGGCTGAATGCCATATTTGGGCTTCGTGCCAACTATTTGAACCCTTCGAGGATTTTTACTGGTATTTCCTCACTGATTTGACTCTATACTTGAACTCAATCATGTTATATTTCACTATTTTTCGTACTCAGCCATGTTTACTCTGTTTTAACACTTACATGATCTTTCAAATGACATTTTTGGGCTGAGAATCATGTTTTACTATTGCCCGAGTGGCTTGTGAGGATTTTGACTGAGTAAGGCCGAGGGCCTATGTTGTGAGGAAACATTTGATACTAATTATGAGGTCGAGGGCCTGAGATATGTATGCCACGAGGTGGCTTGATTGATATGAGGCCGAGGGCCTAGTGATGATGCCACGAGGTGGCTTGATATTGCGTTTGGGCCGTAAGGGGCCCTTCAATGAGTCTGTACACCCCCAGTGAGCGCGGGTACCCATTGTGATGTGAGATTGAGCCCGAGGGGCTGGTATTGTTCTGAGATGTTGCCCGAGGGGCGGAATTGTGGATATTGTGCCCGAGGGGCGAACCTTTATGTGTTTATTTTCTTAATTAACTGTCCATTACCTGCTTAATTGTTGAAAAAGTCTTTTCATGAAATTACATTTGATATAAATGATTTTTGCCTATCTTTCACTGATTCACTGATTTTTAAATGGTTTTACTGCTTCAGTATAGAATGCTTTGTGTTTTACGTGGTTTCTTGCTTTCAGTCTTTTTTTACATTTGTTACTCACTGAGTTGGAGTACTCACTTTACTCCCTGCACCCTGTGTGCATATTCAGGCGTTGTGGATCCTGCCAGTGTGAGTTGAGAGCTCCCGACAGATATCGGAGTCCACGAGGTAGCTGCTTGACGGCCATAGTCCCGTGTTTCTCCCTCTTTATCATTTCTATCTCTTGTCAGACATTTGTAATAATTTGTAGACTTTTCAGACTTGTATTAGGTTTTATAGATGCTCATGACTAGTGACACCCCGGTATCGGACTGCGTTTGGCTGTATTCCGCGATTTATGCTATTAATTGCTTAAACTTTGGTTTATTTATTCATGTTCGGACTGTTTCTTAATGCTTAATTGTTAATAATTGGAAATGGGAAGTGTTGGCTCGCCTTGTCTTCACGAGAGGCGCCATAACTTTATTAAATCCCTTAATTATAGTTAATTGATACAATTTAATGTAAATACATGTGCGAATAAGTTTATTCCATATATTATAGCCTTTTTCGTTCACTGACTTTTTTTCCTTCCTTCCGTGACTTCAAACTTGTAATTGATCCGAACAACAACAAAACAATTACACCTTAATTCCGAATGAAAAAAGCAGTTATTTCGTGAACTTGAATGGGAAATCTTTTATTAGGAGATTGTGGCATAAAACCAAAACATTATTAGACCAGAATCTCGTTTGAACTATTTACCTTAAGTAAATAATGAAAAAACGGTATAAAATAACCTGTTATAATCTGAATAGAACACATGACCCTAGAAAAACATTAACATGTGTTTTATTTTATAGGTAACATACAACTTAGCATAAAGATTTTATGTGAAATAATTATATAACTAAAATAACATTTATAAAGATCATATAACTACCGAACTCGTAAAACTTTTAGATTGAAGTTATAAAAGAATATATATATNCTATGGACAGAGATTAAAAGAGATAGCAATCTCCAAAAGAGGAGGAAAAAAAAAAAGAATAGTTGACTTGAATTTGTGTCTAAAGTTAATGGGGCCAGGGTTTATTAGTCTAATATGCAAAATAAATACAAAGGTCACTGATTTAATGTTCTAAAGATATTGGAATATTTAGATTTGATTCTAAGAATATATTTCAGGTCCAGTGCATCGTCTAGATAAATCTCTGCCTTTGTTTAATGACCACGAGAAAAAATTCATTAGGTCAAAGAAGGATGGAATATATAAATAATAGATTCGATTGAATCCAATTATTCTATAAATATCAAAGTACTAAAATATGAATAAATACTACATTTTAAATTCATAATTTTAATAGCGTAAAAGCAGAGGCGGATTCAGAATTTAAATTTAATGGGTTCAACTTTTAAGATTTTTCAGTATTGAACTGATTATACTATTAAAATTATAGGTTCAGATATAATATTTGTTGAGATTTTAGTAAGTTTTTTACACATATAACTATATTCCGTATCGAAAATTATGGGTTCAAATGAACCCGTAACTAGTAGGCTACATTTGCCCCAGTGTAAAAGTATAAGTTCAGTATTAAAAACTTTGAAACGAAAAATATTCAAGAAAAAGCACAAAGTTCTTCTACTCCTCTTGGAATCTATATTGCGCTTACTCTTTAAATTTGATGCCGTATTCGTGTCGAATTTTCAAAAAGTACATTACTTTTGAAGAATCTGACATCCACCGAACGATAATTTAAACGGTCCAAGCAACATAACTTGAATAGTTAGACCTTTTCACATTTGTGAAGGAGAATGAGGTGACGAAGCACTGGCATCTTTTTTTTTTCCTTTTCCAAAAACAGCAGCTCATGATAAAACAAGTTACTCCCAATAGTCTTCTATCCATCAACTACGGTCTTTTATTGATGTTAATACTTAGAGTATGGTGATAGGCAAATGCACTCTATCCGTTACTTAATATTTTCGACACAGTATATAAATATATATAGTGGGAGGACTTAGATCTTAACTAAGGTTGTGGATGCTCACTTTCTTTTAACATAAAATTACTACCAGTCACATAGCATAATTGTACAACTGCAATACGGTAGTTAAAAGTTAAATAGAAAACTACGAATAACTTCTAGTCATTATGCATAACTGTATTTGACGACTTTTTATTTTTTTGAAGATGATATAATAATTGCTAACAATTGTAAATATTTTACGCTCTACATAGCATATGACTAAACAACTATTTAATTTTGATGTAGTTCATGAATAGAGAGCTCGTTAATTTACTATTAATAGCCTTAAAGAATGAATCCATCAAATTTAAATAATCATGAATCCACGTCTATAAAGTTGCATTGGACAAAAAAATAGAAGAATCGAGGGATGGATTAATAACTCGAAAGCAAATACAAGTAAAAAAAGTTGCTTAGAGATCGAACCCAAAGGTGAATCCAGAATTTTGAGAGGATGGGTGCACTGTTGCAAAGAGGTGGACCCATGATATGAATTTTACATATTCAATCTTCAGTTATTACTATTGCAACTATTACACTTTTGAAATTATAAGTTCAAAATATTTTTTTTAAATAGTAATTTTCTTATATGTATATATATATCTATACTATGTGTCGAAAATATTGGGATTAGTTCAACTCACTGACTATATGCTAAATCGGTCACTACTATACATAATTTATGGAGGGGAATATTGGTTCACGTGCCCCATGGAATCCCCCTAAATACACCCCTTCCAACGTGCGCCAACTCATAAACTCGCAAATGATAAGATAATGTTTCTGCTTTGAATTTGCAAGTGAATGGAAATACTATATGTGCAAACAGGGCGGATGCACCATATAACTATCGGGTTCAATTAAATCTAGTACTTTCGATGCAGAACATAAATTTATGTGTAAAAAATTATTAAAATTATAATAAAATAGATATGAACCAGTAAGTTTAAATGTTGAATCCAATAGAACTAAAATCCTAGATCTGCCTCTGCCTGCAAAAGGTCTTCAAGTTGGAGAAAAACAGAGAAAAACAAAAGAACGGTGAGGGTTAAGATTCTTGGGAAGGAAAAAAGGCACAAATAAACCAATACACTAGCATACTAACTCATATAAATACCCTTGTGCTCATGATTATTGAGTCAAGCAACCAACTAACGGATTTGGGTGGTTGGTAAAAATCGTTGACAATTCGAGTTTTTCTTGCAGTGATCATGCAAAGAGGAAGAGACACTTTGTCACTTGCTCGAGTGATAGGAGATGTTTTGGATCCATTCACTAAGTCTATTAGCCCAAGAGTGTTTTACAACACTAGAGAGGTTAAAAATGGTTGTGATTTGAGGCCTTCTCATGTTAACAATCAACCTAGGGTTGAAGTTGGAGGGGATGATCTTCGCACTTTTTACACTCTGGTATGCCTTATATAATCTCTTGCTCTATTGTACCAGCTATAGCTTTGACATGCATTTCAAGTGTCATTGTTTTCTTTTTTCATTTTGCCTCGTGTTTTATTATTAAACTGTGTGATCGCTCGTCTAAAAGTTTAAGAATATCAAGTTGAAGTATGTCTGTTCATCTAGATCGGAGTTCAGAATTTGAACTTAATGGGTTCGAGATATCGCGGATCGGAATCACCTATTAACCATGCATTTGAGTTACTAGATTCTTCATACATATTTATTACTCTAGCTTTTTACTAGGTTCGATAACTTCGGTTGAACCTAAAGTTTACACTGCACACTTTTTTATGATCATATCATCTAAAAATGTAACATGTTAGAGAGAGTAATATTATGTCTTCCGCATATACGATGCAAGTTGATTCTCATGAAAAATGTTTTTGGATTAAATTTTTAAAATTCCTAAAAAATACTTTTAATTACTAAAATCCAAAAATAACTTTCTTATGATATTTTTTTTTGATTCAATAATTTTTGTCATATCAAATCAAAGTACCTTAATAAAATTTCTGGTCTTGTTTGTGAAGGTTATGGTGGATCCTGACGCTCCAACTCCAAGCAACCCACACCAGAAGGAGTATCTGCACTGGTTAGCTTTTTCCCCAGTTTTAGCTTGCATTTTATAGGTGTTTAATGTAGCTATCGGATTAATATGGTGTCTTTATTCCATTCTACCATGTAAAGACGTTGATTAAATTCTTGGATTCATGATATCCTACTGATTACTGAATCCCAACACATAATTAGTAACGCATTAACAAGAAATATTTTTGTGATTTACAACCTCCTTTTCCAAAATATTGTACTTATGGATGTCAATTTTTAATTGATCCGCGAGTATACGCATCAATTCTCTCTGGATTAGTATCTTGGTAAAACTTGGTACAATCAAACATCTCTATAGCAACATCCCTATATAACAGTCATTCACTATAAAAGTCAGGTTTTACTCAGAATTGATTTTTATGTTATGTTATAGTATATGTCCTCTATAACAATACTTCACTATAGCAGCAAAAAAATATCGGAAGAAGTGAAGCTGTTATAGAGAGATTTGACTGTATTTCACAAAATTATATCAACTTATTATGATTAAGTGATGTGTGTGTGTGTTTGGGGGTGGGGGTGGGGTGGGGGTAGAGGGTCAAACATATATGGGTATGGCATGAATAGTGAGTGCGAATTAAGTTTTTACCGTTATGAGTTGTGATAAATGCCACCAATTTTAATATTATCACAGTTTTAAACTCCAAAAAGGCCAAAATTTCTCCATGGAAAACACTTACATTTATATAAATGGTCTTGTAAATCTATCTGTAACCTTCACCATCTTTTAATTATATTTTTTGGGGTTTATCTTTGCACATAAAGATTATATTATTGGGACGCCCTAAAAAATAATAGCTGGAAAAAGAATATGTTTTGTATATGAAGTCAGAGGCGGATCCAGGATTTAAACTCTATGGGTTCAACTATATATTTTTAAAGTTATGGGTTCATATCTATTATTTTTACAATTTTAAGGAATTTTTACACATAAATTTTTAATCCGCGTCAAAAGTTATGGGTTCAATTGAACCCGCTGCTAAACCTTTGCATCCGCCCCTGTATGAAGTATAAATCTATATATCTATATCTATTCTATACTATACTATATTAAAAGCACGAAAACCTTTAGCGAAATGTCGTTCGCCTTTTTTACCCTTTAACAATAGATTTTATATTGGATAAAATTATAATTTAATTATTTTTCTAATATTTAGAATTTGAAGTCAAGTAAATTTAGGTTATTGAATATTTCCTTATTTAAACTACCACGTAGGAAGTTGAAATCAAATAAGATTTTATAACCTTATATAAATCCTTTACTTATTGCAATGTTATAATGCAAATAGTTTTGACAAAAAGTATTTTATATCATGTGAGTCTGATTGCGCAAAGCATGCATATTCTATAATTATTTTTCTCAACGTTTGAAACTACTTCAAGTTAATTTTCCTTGTTGGAAAGATCATTAGATCATTCTGAAGCACTGTTTAGTTGGCATTAACTCGTCATGTTTGCTTGAACCTTGAAAACAAAAGTGGACTTACTTATACTCTTTAAAAGATGAAATATTTCTTTCAAATTATAGTCCATATTGAATAAGATAGTTTTTTATCAAATCCGAAATATTTCTTTACTAGATATTAAGCACATCTTGATTGCGCAAAATTGTCATTTATTTATTTTTCCTAATATTTAAAATTTTAAAATTAATTAAACTTTTCAATCTTTCCTTCTTTAAAATCAATTTTTCTTTTTACCTTATATAAATTCTTTCCTTACCCGAATTAGGTAACGAAATCATAATTTCCCATATTTTTATTCCTAATATTTATGATTATTAAATCAATTAAAATGTATTTATTAAATACTTCCTAATTTATCAAATTAAAAATAATAAGATTACTATTATTGTGAAGAAGGATATGATAGCAAGAAAATTCAAAAAGCTCCTAAAATTTCAAGGCCAAGTGAACAAAGATGTTCAAAAAGTTCTAAGCAAACAAGACAATATCGTGTTTTTTTTTCTTCCTATTTTATCTAAAATAAAAATATTATTTAAAAATTAAAAAATTAAAATTTGGTTTTTATGAAAAATAAACAAAACGTTCCCATTAGATTTTATACAGGGGATGTCAATGATTCTATGAAACTCAACTAAAAGCCAAATTAACAGAACCTTTCCAACCGATTATTAGGTTTTTCTTGATAAAGTTATCGGTCCGATAAAAATCTATGACCGCAACGAATATTTAGGTAATTTTTTTATTTTTTAAATAAAATAAAAAATATCTGATCGAATTGAATAAATTTAAATATATATATATATATATATATATATATATTATATACTAAGTTTAAAAATAATAAAGCATTAATATAACGTTAATAGAATTGCAATTAATTTTTTCTAATATTTTTAATTTGGAATTTATTACACAATTTATAATGGAATGTTATTAGAAACAAAAAAAAAATCTTGACTGAATAAACCTCAAAATAAAGAGACATATACGCATTTATGTCAAAAGAAAAAAGATGGTGGTAAATAAAAAATTTACTTAGCAATTTTTTCCCCCTTACAGTTGATATTATTCTTCTCCTTTTATATCAAATTAAAATAATAATAATAATAATGTATGTAGCATAAAAGGAAAAATAAAATGTTGAAAGTCCTGAATTGTGATTTCGCCAAGAAGGTAGTAACAAAGAAATTTTTAAGTACTTGAGTGATACTTCAATTAGCTAAAAGCCTGCAAATAAGTTCATTGAAAAGGTGGCATTCGTTCTTTACCAAGTTAGCAAAATAAGATCAATATTATCTTCATAAGGAATTTAAACTATTTTTCTTAAGTACTTATTTTATAACTCAAAATATATTTAAAATAATATTAAGTAAATTTTTAAATTTGCGCTCATTGATTTGGAGTATGAATGTATTCTAAATGAATTGTCATTATTTTATTGTATCTTTGAAATATATAAGTCCTCATAAATTATAATAAGACATTTGAAAACTTCTACATGATAAGATTTTTTTCATTTATTGAACTAGCTAAATGGGGATGGCATTAATCATTTCAGGAATTTTTTTTTAATTTTTATTTTGTAATTATGTATAATTCAAACACATTATCTCCAGGTACGCATTTTGTGTGTGTACTCATATCAATAAACACCTAGTTTACAAAGTATATAAATTTATTGTATTCATAGGAACTTATAATTTTTCTTAATTTTCATTTATTAACTCAAGCTAATTTCCAATAAAATATTACTCTTTGAGATAGGTACACGCGCAACGCGCGTATCTTAAGACTAGTATATATATATACACACACACACACATACATATACGTAAAAATTGCACGGGACGCCCTATTTGGTCGCCCTCATTTAATTTATACCCATTTTTTAAAAAACTTTTAACTTGTACCTACTTTTTAAACAACTTCATCCCTCTTTTTCCTCCTCCTTCTCCTAGTGATCTCCATATCTCTTCAAAACTTTAATATTGATGTAGCAATATCTCTCCTTCTGTAGCTTCACTCAATTACTCAAACGTTTCGATCCAGAATAAATCAATGTTTGGTTGAATAGAGTATTACTTAGGGCCAGGGTAACGGATTTATGAATTCTGTAGTAATAAATAGCATTCAATGTTTGGTTGGCATCATTGATTCGTAAAGAATGACTAGAGAAACCTGTTTCTTTTGACTTCTGCAATTACATCATTTTCTTTGCTTTCTTACTTAATTTCCTCTACTTTGACATATTTAGTATATTTTGGAGACTTTCCAGTTACAAAATAAAAACTTCAGCTCTAGAGCTGAACTTCAGGCCCGACTACTAGAATGCTGAAGTTTTGCGTGATTGTCTTTGCTACTTCAGCCCCGTATGCTGAAGTTATGCGAAAAGCGGGTACGCTTGCAATTTTTTTTGCAAAGCGGACACAAATTAAAACGTGATACAAAAAGCGGGTATAGATGCAAATGCCTCCACATATACACATAATCTGTGTATTTGAATATTTGGGCTGGGGCCCGTAATTATTCGACCGACGGGCCAAAAATGAATAAAGCCCAGCCAAATCGAAAACGGGACTAGTCTCGGCAACGAGTGGCTCGATACCAATCATAGGGCCGAGTCAGGTGTTGGTGTTGGGCTCAAGGAATCTGTCTAACCCAAACTAGGATTAGAGCCCATGAACCAGATTAGCTCCAACAACTAAAAAATTGATATTTTCCTTGCCACCATCCAAATTTTGAACCTTTTTATTACAATTAATTTCATAAAGATTGAGAAAATTTAAGACAAATGACAAATTCATGAATTGGGCATTAGTATCAAATTTATTCAAGTTATACAATTTCAAAATTGCTCTCTGATTAATTAACATTGTTAGGTTGGTCACTGATATTCCAGCAACCACAGGAGTAAGCTTTGGTAAGTCTATCCTTCATACTAATCATGAGTTTCTCTATATTATACTGTTATGTATTGCTTTGGTTATCTAACTTTTTTGCAGTTTATATTTTCTTTTCTTCAGTATTTTCATCATAACTTCTTTACTCTTATATTTTTCAAACATGTTTTAAAAATATTTTTCTTGAGCCGAGAGTTTATCGGAAACAACCTTTCTATCTCACACAAGATAGGGGTAAGATCTACGTACATTCTCCCTTCCCCAGATTCTACTTGTGGGATCACATTGGGTACATTACTATTACTATTACTATTACTATTACTATTACTATTACTATTACTATTATTATTATTATTATTATTGTTGTTGTTGTTGTTGTTGTTGTATTCTGTGCTAACCGTTGTTAAATTGATTTAGCTTAGTATGACGCTTAGCTTGTCCGACACTAATTCCTGTTTTTTAGGCAATGAAGTGGTATCATATGAGTGTCCACGTCCAACAATGGGAATACATCGGCTAGTTTTAGTGCTATTTCGGCAATCACGTAGAGAGAGTGTGTATGCTCCAGAAAGTCGAGAGAATTTCAACACAAGAGACTTTGCAAAGCACTACAATCTTGGATTACCTGTTGCTGCTCTTTATTTCAATTGCCAAAGGGAAAATGGTACTGGTGGCCGTCGATTAATATAATATTATCAGTGGGAAAATCAGAAATTTTGGCGAAGGATATTAACTATTAAATATACACATATAAAAAAAATAATTTTTGACCTACATATACAATATAAGTTTCTACATATATAATATAACTTTTCGATGAAGGCTGTTCAGTTGACCACCCTTCAGTATATGTGGTTTTGCTACTGAATATTGCTAGTTACCTAGCTCGTATCCATGCATGTATCAAGAAATAAAAGCATGCATTATATATCAATAATAGCATGCTAGTATTGATATAATTAAGTGCAAGTGTTGGAGGTCATCTCGTGTAATTTCAATTATTCTAAAAAGAATGGGTGACTACATCTATATGTTGCATTAAAGAAATGAATATACTATTACCTCTGTTTGATTACTTCGTTTGTCATAGTTTTGACTTGATATAAAGTTTAATAAGAAAAGGAAGACTTTTAAAGTTTGTGGTTTTAAATTGTTATCATAACATTTTTGTGATGGTAAAACTTTTAAAATTTGTAATTTTAAATATGTCATAATATTTATGTGGCTGTAAAAACCTCAATCATTTAAGAAATATAAGTTGTGTCATTTCTTTTGAAACGTCATAATAATAAAGAAATAATGCCAAACAAATTGAAATTTCCTTTGTCATTGTATTGCAACCCTAGATCAAGGATTTTTTACTTGGTGTTTCAAGGGCACTAGCTAAGTGTAGCTTAGCTAGCAACTTATCAGCAATAATCTATAAGAGTAATAATGAACTTAATTGGCCATATGTGACAGACAAACTTAGCCAGGGGCAGATATAACGTTACATTAAAGTTACAAGTTTATCTGAATTCAGTAGTTTTAGCTCAGACCTCAAATTGACTGCCATAAAAGAAAATCCTTGGATGAAGATAGTAAAGCTACTTTAATTTGCAAATGTGGGCTGGCAGAGGAGGATCCAGGATTTTAAGTTTATGGGTTCCTATTGCAATCTCAAATTAATATACAATAATAACTGAGTTCATAAACAGATATTTATACATATTTAATAAATTTTTTAACAAAAATATAGGGTCTATGCATAAGTTACTGAGTTCCCGGGAACCCATATATTATACTCTAGATCTGCCCTGCATGCTGGACCCAAGTACAAAATGCTTTAGAATATTTATAGGAATTTTTACCTCCTATAGCAAAGGTTAACACCTTATTTATTTTAAATAAATATCATTTAAAAAAATTATATTCTATAGATACCTTTTAAAGTTTATAGCAAAATATTTAATTTTGGTTACCCCCTAGCCCTAAGCCATTAAATACGCTAATCAATTACACTATTTTCTTTCTCTCTCTACTTTGATACATCTCATTCTCTTCCACCATTCCATTAAAATTTCCGATCTCCTCCTCCTTCTACCGAATTTGTTTCTGCATTAAAATGGCATTTCCAATTTTATTCAGCGAGAGATACTCCTTATGCGAAGTCAAGGACCAGTTTCAATTGAGATGTACAAATATCAATAATCCATAGTCACGAACATACTCGAACAGCTGCTTGAGAATGGATCTCCTTTGCTTACCTGATGAAACAAGACTGCCAGATGCAATGCTACCGAAGATTATTTTTGTGGCTGGAAAGATGTGAATATAGTTTTTATTGCCAAACAACTCAGAGTGAAATTTCCATGAAGGCGGCGCGTTTTCACTACCGGCTTCCGGTGAACGGTGTATTTGTCGGAAATTAGGATTTGTTCTTGAATAAAGACGATAGAGTTTGGGGCTGAGCGACTTGATTTTCTGTTAATCTATTTCAATGTGTTTTCATGTATTTCATTGTATTCATTATTTTTTTTATTGTAATTCAACGTATCTCGTTGTATTCTATGTATTTCATTTTATTCACTGTCTTTTTTTCTCATTGTATTTCAATGTATCCCGATGTATTCTATGTATTTCATTGTATTCACTATCTCACTATAAGCCATGAATGTATTTATACGTTTTTTTAATTAATATAATTTATGTATTCAAATGTATTATATAATTTCTCTGAAGATTGCTATGTTTTTGAGGTATTTTTCGGTTGAGAATCTTTTTTATAACTGAAAACACAAAGTTTGTGTGTTATAATTGAGTTTGTTGAGTTATATTAGGAGTCTATTATGTTAATTGATTCACTTTCCGTTTTAAAAACAGTGTAATCCCATATGTCACGCCGTGAATACAGTCAAATACAGTCGAATACAATAATCTGTCCAGCTGTAATCCCATGTTTCACTCCATGAATACAGTCGAATACACTCGAATACAACAACTGATTAGCTGGACTTCCCTGATTCACGCCTATTTTTCCTACTGTATTCATGAATACAATAGCTTAAATACATCAAATATATCTTATAACCATATAAAAGGTATCTATAATCCGTAATATAGCAAATGGTATCTATAGATGGCTAATTACTACTAAAAGATAGTACTTCATGAAAATTTCTCATTTTTATATTAGGTTAGATCGCGCAAACTTTGTTTATACTAATAGTGCAATTAATTAGCATATAATAATAAGTTATTTAATTTATCTTTCAGGTTAGTAGACCATATTTGTTGCAAACAATTAAATGTTATTATGGACAACTTAACCTAACGGTGTAATTACTATTATTACACGCGCTGTCAGTTCAAAATGCTCATCTTTGAGAAACTTAATTATTAGAACTGCTTCAGCTATATTTGACGGACCAATTTGGACTTATCGCCAAACACTAGGGACCATTTTTATTATTTTTTCTAGAAAAATCACTACACTATTTTTATTTATATTTTGTAAGCAAAAAGCACTGCATTTAGATTAAGTATAATAGAATAAAAAGTAACTAAATAGGAGTAATTTTTCTTGTAACAAAACATTCAAGCAACATTACTTAAGTTTATAGACAGATTCAAAATTTGAGTTTTATGAGTTTAAATTCATGATTCTGCCATCTTCATTCAATATACTGGGTTTAAAATCAAATATTTGTACATAATTAGTTGAGTTTTTAACACATACAAGATCTAAGTCAAAAATTATGGGTTCAGATAAACTCATAGCTTGTTCATCGGATATACCCCTGCTTAAGTATGATAGGAAGTTACTAAAAATCAGAGGGCATTTGCATTTATACCCGTTTTTTGGGTCACGTTTTAACTTGTACCCGCTTTGCAAAATAAATTGCAAGCGTACCTACTTTTTCGCATAACTTCAGCATACGAGCCTGATGATAGGCTATAATTACGTATTTTAGTCGCTTATTACACTCAAATTTACTGCACTTTAGTTGAGTTTGCGCTTTAATCGCTAGTGTTTTGCAATAACGATGTGTTTTATGTCTTGTAGGAGTGATTTCGAGCTATATAGATGTTATGGAATGAATTCAAGTGATTTGGAGCTTTGAAGTCTGAGTAAAAGCCCAAGGAATTAAGTCGGGATCATATTCGGGGATCAACGGATGATAGAGCAACAAAACGAAGAATCGAGTAAGCATATTGCGCACTGTCTAGTAAAATGCACATAACATTTTGCTTAGAACTCTATTTGGGCTCCACAATATATTGTTGGAAGGATAACTCAAAGGACTACAACTTTCATGTTTTATGTTTTTCCAAATTCCAAACGGAACAGGGTGAAACACGTGGTCGAAACCGCGACTACGGACCTGAGGCTGGCTGAGGCGGTATACCTGCCATATACCACGTTTGTACCGCGGTCGAACCGCGGCCGTGGCAGTCCAGACGTGAAATATTGTCATTTTTCGCATAGGAGAATGCATAATTGTTTGGGCCTGACCCGACTTGGTATATATACATAGAAAAACGGTATTTTTGAGGGGTTGGAAAAATTTTTGACACAGATTTGACCTAAGGAGGCAGAGACACAATAGGAGCAAGGCGGGGAATTCTTCTACGAGTTTTTCCTTTCCTCTTCCTATTTTTCATTGTTGGTTATGACTTTTAGTATTGTAGTTTTACATACTATTATGAATAACTAATTTGTTATCTAGGGTTTTGATGGAACCTTTTGTAGAATAAATTCTTGTTATGTTTTTATATAATTGAACCGTAGTATTTGTTCAACTATATTATTCTTGTGGTTAATTGAAGGGCCCTCAATTAGTTGTGCCTATTTAGTATGTATTACTCGGGAGACAGTGCATATTTAGGTAGTTGTTGAACAACATCACTCCCGACGTATGTGAGGAATCAATAACCAAGGGTTTAAAGGTGGGATTAGGGATAACAAACCTTGGGTGTGATCAAAGTGAGTTGTAATTAAAGCCAGCTAGCGTAACTCGGACGAGTATGTCTAGTAAATTATTGTAATTACTCGGGAGAGAATTATAACACGCAGAGCGCTCATGATCGATAGAGAATACTTAGGCAAAAATATAAGACATAGCGGGAAGGATTCCGACAAGTGGGGAAATCATAACTCTAGACCTCCTTAATCTTTTCTCAAACCCTTAGTATTTTTAGTTGTTAATTTACTATTTTAATTTATTAGTTAATTAGTTAAACACAAAATCTAAATATCTATAAGTTATAAATTATTCAAGCTTGTCTTCTTGGTGATAGTGAACAGCTATAATTAAACCTTAGTTCTCTGTGGATTCGACTCCGCACTTGTAAGCCGGATTATATTTGCAGCGACCGCATTGTCCTTTTTATAAGATATAGTTGGGCGTGATCAAATTTTGGCTACCGTTGCCGTGGATCTAACGGTGTAGTTGTAGGTGTACATATTGCTAGGTTTCAAGTTTGAACTTTTATTTTATTATTTGATTTTTTTATTTTTTTTATTTTAGTTTTATTCGTTTATTTGAGAAACATGGCATCATGGAATTATGAGAATTTTGATGTTGGTAATTCTACTTTTAATCCTCCTTATGCATATTGTGAAGGAAACCACCCAGGGCAAAATTATCAAAATATTCCCGAGAGCGAGTTTTGTGCACCAACTCAATCTTATGTGTGGAATGTGTGTGATATGCGTGGTGGTCAAGATGGTCACTTTCATGGTTGTGCTTATAGTTCTTATCTTCCCCAACCCCTTACTTTGATGGTTCTTCTTTTTCTTGTGAAGTTAATAGGAACAAAGAACTCAGGTATGAGGACCTAAAAGAGATCGAGGATATGTTAAAGTGCCTTACGGAACAATATGATGAGATACAACTGGGGGCCAAAGGCAAGGGGCAACTATTCACAACTTGGAGGCTCAAGCGAATAAATTAATTGAACCTTGTAAAGTGCAACAAGTTGACATTGTGGATAGTAGCAAATATGAGCATGAATTGGCTGTAGAAATTGCCATT